TATATATATATATATAATATAGATATAGATATATATATATAGGTATGTAGGTGTGTATATATGTATATATATGTACATGTATACATATACATATACATATATATATATATATATATATATATATTATATATATAATATATATATATATATGTATTATATATATATATATATATATATATATTATCTTATCTATATCTATCTGTCTGTCTATCTATCTATCTATGTATCTATATATCTATCTATCTATCTATATATATATATATATATATATATATATTCATATATATATACACACACACACACACACACACACACACACACACACACACACACACACACACACACACACACACACACACACACACACACACACACACAACACACACATACACACACATACACACACACACACTATATATTATATATATATATATATATATATATATATATATATATATATATATATATATATATATATATATATGCTTTACCTATGAAAGTAAGTAGATAATGGGTTAGATGCCCAACAGCAATAGAACTGCTTGTCAATGGATAAGCTATTTGATTGGAATCTAGTCATATATGTTTGCGTGGCGTAAGCACCCGCAGAACTGGCGCCTTGAATTCGGGGACATCGCACGCCCCAACAGCTATGATCAGGGATCCACACGAAGGGCTGATCCTTCATCAGGGTCTACTGCTTATCAAAAAGAGCCACGCTTTTAGCACTGCCCCGAGAAGGGCCTGCCGACATTCCTGAAGAACATTGCCGAAGCAAAACATTTTTTAAGATTGAAGTTGAAGAATAAAAACAATTACAACGCTGATATTCCCGTCTATAATGATTACATTTAAAATTTATATTAAGACTGCTGATAACGATATTGATAGTAATAAAAACAATTATAATCACTATGATAACATCAATGATAATGACGGTGAGAGTAATGATGATAGTAAATGGGATAATGACGACGATCATAGTAAAAAGAGTAGTAGTGAGAATGATAATAAAGACCTTATCACTTCCACAAAGCCCGGACGTCTTTGGCCAGACTCACCCTCTGAAGTTTCGTGCGAATCCACAAGAAGAAACTGCACCACGAATCGCGGATCGCCGTGAGTGAGGAAGCGGCGCCGGAAGCCCGAATATATAGCAGGAACAGACCGCTCGCGCCAAGGCCGGGATCGGGAGCGCAGTTTGCTCAGGTGAAGGTGCCACGAAAGGGAAGGAAATGCCGGTCGAGCGGCCCAGGCGTCCGTTGCAGAGATCCTTAGGCGGGAAACGGGTGCCTGGGGGAACCTGGGCCGTCGAATCATAGAGTTTGTAGTGTTATGTATGTTGTTGTTTGATCACGTGCTTTGTTGTGTAGCTTTGAGTTTAGCTGTGTGATACATTTCACTGATAATATATTTTGTGACATTTCTCGAATGTATGTAGCAGCCTATATATGTTTGATTTTTGCTTGATAGTATTTTCTTATACTACGTTTCGTATTACAACTGTTATCTTAATAGACAGTTATATAGCAAACGCCTGATAATGAATATTGTGATTATGTAATCTGTATCACAGAAATGTGATGATATGTAATGTGATGATAAGGATAAATGATAATATTGGCAGTTGAAGAATGGAGAATGCAATTAGGCCACAATCATTTTATTCCTTGGTTTACGGATTTTATTTCTGAAAATCTTAGTCAAGCGATCGCAAAATTAAAATAAAAATAATTGGGTGTTTTGACTTTTTTATAACAGTTTATTACTTTCTGGAAACATGTGACAGGCGACAAAAAATAAGTGAAATACCGATGACAAAACTACATCACGTCTAGAATCAGTATTGTCCATGTGCTACAGACAGGAATGATCTCCGGTGACACATTGTGCTTGAGACAAACGGCAGATGCCATCGATTGTGGAAGTTTCTGTAGGTGTAACCGACAAGAAAAAATGAACATCAGAATTAAAACGCATCGGATCAGGTGCGACGGGGAAAAAGGTCGATTTCTCAATTATTTTTATTTTCCAAAATCGGGAAAAAGACAAATGGAGGAGGATCCGTAAACCAAGAAATAAAATAATTGTCTTATTAGTTTGTAATATGATAGATACATATTTTATGTATTGCTTATAAAGTGTTTCTGTGTAGTGCAGGTGTGTTCCATTTTCCTATCTTGGCATTTCCTAGCACCCTAAATAGAATAGTTCTCAACTATCAACAAGCTTGTGAATGATGAAATATGTAGGCGATACATCATTACATTGCCTTTGTTTCTAATTGTTACGTTATTTTATCGATACAAAGAGCTTAGCAGAAAGAAATAATATTATCAAAAGACTAAGGTGTTTCTGCTATTCACATTCATTAAATTTCAAGCTACACTTTAAACAACGCATATATGTGGGTATTTACATACATGTATTTAGTGTATGTGTGAGTGAGTGTGTGTGTGTGTGTGTGTGTGTGTGTGTGTGTGTGTGTGTGTGTGTGTGTGTGTGTGTGTGTGTGTGTGTGTGTGTGTGTGTGTGTGTGTGTGTGTGTGTGTGTGTATGTGTACGTACGTGTGTTTACCCACTTGTCAAAACACGCTCTCTTGACCCACATCCACTTAAAACAAGAACTGGGCATTTGCGAAGGTTGTCCAAGAGAGAGAGAGAGAGAGAGAGAGAGAGAGAGAGAGAGAGAGAGAGAGAGAGAGAGAGAGAGAGAGAGAGAGAGAGAGAGAGAGAGAGAGAGAGAGAGAGAGAGGAGGAGGGGGGGGAGAGAGATAACTATAGATAGATAGATAGACAGACAGATAGATAGATAGATACTAGTATGATAATTATAACATGGTCACAATAATAATAACAATGATAATGATAATGATAAGGATGCTAATGATGCTAATATTAATAATAATAATAACTGTATCATAATGATAATGATGATAATAATAATAGTAATGATAATGATAACAATTATGTTCATTTTAAAGATAATAGTAATGATAATAATAATAATAACAATAATGTTCATTTTAATGATAATAGTAATGAGTGCTAATCATGATAATGACAATAAAACAATGATAATGATAGTGATATTAATGATAATGATAATTTCAATAATAATGATAATAGTAATAACTACTACTGTTCACAATAATGATGAAAGTAATGATAGAACAATGATTATGATGATGGTGATGATGATAATGATAAGAATGATAATAAGTATCATGATGATGCTGATCATAAAATTAAGAATGATAACAATAGTGATAAAATGATAATAGTGATAGAAATGATAATATGAACAATAATGATGATGCTAATGATGAATATAATAGTAATTATGAAAATGATAACGATAATAATGGTAATGATAATGATACAGAAATATCAATAGTAATTAAAATGATGATGATGATAACAATGATACTGATACTAATGATGATACTTATAATGACGACAATGAAAAAAATGATAATAATCATGATGATAATGATAACAACGTTTGTAATAATGATAAGAAAATAACACTAATAATTATGATAATTATAATGATGATAATAAGAAAGATGATAATCATGATAATAATGATAACACTAATAATAATAATAACAATAGTAACAAAAATATAGAAAATAATAATAATAATAATAGTGATAATAGATATAATGAAAGTAATAATGATAATAACAACAATAATAATAAGGATGGTAATAGTAATGATGAAAATAAAAAATAATGACTGCACTAATTATGATGTTAATGATAATGATGGTATCATTCTTTGGCATCTTCGATCCCGAGTGATCATCGATTTGTGCCCGATCGGAAACACCTTCTGGTGTGGCTATGTAAGTCAATCCGGGAATGGAAGTCCCTATTGCAGCGGCTGCTCCGGCACAGAGTGGATACAGCCTGTTGACTGTCTGTTTTTGCGCTTTGTTCTCTTCCCATCTGATGCCAGGCGTATGTTGTCCTCTCCCTGGCTCAGTCCACGATTCAGCTCTTTTCTCCACTGTGGCTGGTCTTCAGCAAGCACTTCCCACCCCTTCACATCCATGTCCACAGCCTTTAGGTCATTTTTGCAGACGTCTTTGAAACGCAGGCGTGGGCGACCCTGCACTCTCTTCCCGCGCACAAGCTCCCCGAAAAGCAGAACTTTTGGGAATCCTGTCATCCTGCATCCTGCGGACGTGACCAAGCCAACGAAGGCGACGTTGTCGGAGGAGGGTGTATATACTGGGGATGCCAGCGCGCTCAAGGACCTCGTTGTTGGTGATTTAGTCCGACCATTTTATCCCCAGGATCCACCTCAGATTCTGCATGTGGAACGCAAGTTATTTTAGTCGCTTTCCATGACGAGAACACAGAGTCCAGCACTCGCTGCCATACAGGAGGGTGCTAAGGGCACAGGCCTTGTAGACTGACATCTTGGTGTTTGTGCTCAGCTTACTGTTTTCCCAGACACGTTTAGTGAGCCTGGCAAGGGATGAGGCGGCCCAGCCAATCCGCCCGTTCAGCTCAGGGTTCATGTCAGGGCTATCAGTCACTGTGGAGCCGAGGTAGGTAAACTCTTGGACTACGTCCAGCTGATAGTTGTTGATGGTGATAGTGGGCGGGCTCTTTGTGTTCTGGCTTAGAATGTCGGTTTTCTTCAGGCTTATAGTGAGCCTGAAGTCCTCGCATGCCTGGGAGAAGCAATCCATGAGCTTCTGAAGATGTTTTTCCTCATGAGCAGTGATGGCAGCATCATCCGCGAATAACATGTCTCTGATGAGGACTTCGCGGATCTTGGTCTTGGCTCACAGCCTAGCTATGTTGTAGAGCCCCCCGTCAGATCGGGTATGGAGGTAGATTCCTTCAATGGAGGTCCGGAAGGCATGCGTGAGCATGACGGCGAAATAGATGCCAAAGATGGTTGGGGCAAGCACATAGCCTTGCTTCACGCCACTCTTCACATCGAACGGTGTTGATGATGTTCTGTTGAAGTGGACGACACCCTACATTCCTTCATGGAAGGATTGTATGATGCTCAGGAGCCTCTCTGGACATCCGATCCTTTCAAGGACTTTGAAAAGGCCATCTCGGCTCACAAGGTCGAAGGCCTTAGTAAGGTCAATAAAGGCTACATACAGGGGCTGGTTTTGCTCTCTACATTTATCCTGGAGCTGACGGAGGGAGAAAATCATGTCAATTGTGGATCGTTCTGACCTAAAGCCACACTGCGATTCAGGGTACACCCTGTCTGTCAGCTTTTGGAGTCTGGTCAGAATCACTCAAGCAAAGAGTTTTCCCACCTTACTCAGCAAGGAGATGCCTCTATAGTTGTTGCAGTCACGGCGGTCACCTTTATTCTTATACAAGGTGATGATGTTACAATTACGCATGTCCTGTGGTACTTTACCTTCCTCCCAGCACTGGCAAAGCAGTTCATGAAGATGACTGAGGAGGGGCCACTTCCTACTCTTTATGACCTCGGCTGGGATGCCATCTAGGCCCGGTGCTTTTCCCGAGGGCAGGTTGTCGGTGGCTCTGCTGAGTTCCTCGAGGTTTGGCATTTTGTCCAGCTCATTCCTGACAGGCAGACGCTCAACATACTCCAGAGTGGCATCTGAGATGATGGTCTCTCTGTTGTAGAGGTCTGAGTAGTGTTCCACCCATCTTTCCATCTGTTTGCTTTTGGAAGTGGACTTGTCTTTCTGTATGTTATACCAGTTGCCTTCTTGATTCCATCATAGACACCCCTGATGTTGCCAGTGTCAGCAGCCAGCTGAATACCCTCACAAAAATAAAGCCAGTACTTGTTGGCACAATTTCTGGCTATCCGCTGGACCACGCTTCTGGCTGCTCCGAAGGCCTGCAACGTTGACTGGGTTGGATATTGCCTGTGATTTAGCAAGGCAGTATGTTTCCTTTCTATCACTGTGATTTAGCAAGGCAATACGTTTCCTTTCCATCACGGCGCTGATCTCTGTTGCATTCACCTCAAACCAGTTTTCGGTTATCCCTGTCTTCCTGCCGAAGACGGAGAAGGCTGTGTAATGGATAGTATTGTGGAGATGGTCCCACCTCTGCTCGGTGTTCCCTTTGGGTGGTTATGTCTCCATTTTATCCTCAAGGCTCTTGATTAACAACACCATGTCCTGACACTTGGTCTTAGACGTGTCGATGTGTGGTTTGCATGGTTGTTTGGCTCGATGCAGTTTCTTAGTCTGGATCCTGATCTTGCAGCAGACTAGGGAATCGTCTGTATCACAATCAGCACTGTGGTATGAGCGTGTGTTGAGAATACTGCACAGCTGTTTGTGACGTGTGAGGATCAGGTCTATTTGGTGCCATTTCTTGGAGCGAGGATGGCGCCATGACATCTAATGCTGGGGCTTACTCTGGAAGTAGCTATTCGTGATGCATAGGTCTTGAAGTATGCACGCTTCCAGATGCTGGCCGTTGTCATTCATGCTACCAACACCAAAAGGACCAAGGCAGTTGGGCCAGGAAGAGCAGTCTGCACCAACGCGAGCATTAAAGTCGCAGAGGAGGATGAGGCTGTCCGCTGACGGCACCTGACGGCACTGCAGCTGGTCATAGAACTGGTCTTTTGCCTCGTATGGAGTACAGAGTGGGAGCATAGGCCTGTGCAAAGTTGTATGGAGGACATGGTGTGCCCGTGCACTAGGTCCCCCCTCTCCACGTCGTCGATGTACTCCAAGGGAAGGGCAGAAGCCCATGCAACTTGGCACCAACGCCATCGCAGGAGTTAACGCAACGTAGTTGAAACCAACAACGATCCGCCTCGGGATTTGACCTCAGGGTTCACTTCCGAAGGGGGATTGCCTTACAAGGCTAAAGGGTTCCCTCTACCCTAAACTGAGACAGGTTGTACTGGATTACAGTATACCAGTAGCAGGGTATACCTGACCTGACACAGTATTATAATAATGATAATAATAATAATGATAATAATTATTATTATTATAATGATAATGATAGGAACAAAGACAACAACAGCAATAATAATAATGATGATAATAATAATCATCATAATTATAATGATAATGATAATAGCAAAGACAACAACAGCAATAATAGTAATAACGATAATAATGATGATAATGATAACAATAATAATGGTAATAGTAATAATAATGACAATAACAGTTACAATAATAAAGAGGATAATAATAGTAATGATAATAAAGATGATGATAATGATAGTAATGGCAATGTTAATGATATTGATCATAATTATAAAAATCATGATGATAATATCAACAATGGTGATAATGATGATTATGATAATAGTAATAATGATATGATAATGATAATGATGACAATAATAATGATAATAATGATCATGATGATAATAATAATGATTATACTAATCATTATAATGATGAGGATACTAATCATGATAAAAATACAATAATAATAATAGTAACGATAATAGTAAAAAATTATAAGATTGATGGTGAATGAGAATTTGATACTAATAGTAATGAAAATAGTAATAATGATAATGACAATAATAATGATAATGATGATGATAATAATAATAATAATTATAACAATAATAATAATGATGATAATTGTAACAATAGTAATAGCAATAATGATGATGATAATATAAGAGCAATAGCAATATTGATAATGATAATAATGATAGTATTTATAATGATGTTATTGACAATAATGATAACAATAGTGATGATAATAACAATAACAATAATAACAACAGCAACAATACTAATACTAATAATAATAATGGTAGCAATGATAATAATAATAACAACAGTGAAAATAACAATTATGATATGAATGATAAAAATAGTAATAATGATACTGACAATAATGATAACAATGTTAATAATCATAATAATAACAATAGTAATGATAATAAGAGTAATAACAAAGATAATGATAATAATGGTAATATCAATAACAATAACTGAATGCAAAAATAACAAAAGTAATAACTATAACAAGAATGAGGATAATGATAATGGTATGATTACTGGTAGTGATAGTCATTATTATCAACATTATCATTAATCTTATTTTCACTATTTTTATTATCATTATCATATTTCTGTCATTATCATTAACGTGTTTATTAGCAATATCACTATTGTTATTACTATTATCATTATTATCATTTTCTATCATTATTATTATTGTCATCATTATTGTTAGTATTATCATTATCATTCTCATTTACATCATCATCATCATCTTCATCATTATTCTATTCTCATTATTATTACTACCTCCGCCAAAGAAGTTATGTTTTGGTAGCGTTTGTTTGTTTGTTGGTTAGGAGAATAACTCAAAAAATTATGAACAGATTTTCATGATTTTTTTTTCTCTTTTTTTTACCAGAGGTGTGTCTCCGCCCAACTTAGATGCCATTAAATTTTGGTGGTGATCCTGATCATGATGTAGATCCAGGATTTTATTAAAGGATTCATTAGCATTGAGAAGTAGGGAAACACGAGCGTCACCTGCGTGCTTTAGTAAGTGATTCGGCGGAGGTATGCACTGTCTGAGTGCTTCTGGCTACTATCATCATTATCATTAATGTCATTATTAATTGAACAAATATAAGATGAAGAAACAAGAAAAAAAACTAAGTAGCAGATGAATCGGCAATAACAAAAAATAATCAAAATTATAATAATATGAATAGGAATAAACATTAAATGATAAGATTATGTATGCATTGAAAAAATCGCGTTGGACTGGGTAGGTGTCGGCCGGGCTTGAGGAGTGGAAAGACTGGTTGCACAATGCGGTTGTTCCGAGGTGAGAATGCGTGACCGTGTGGTTAACAATCTGAGAATGAGAGAGGGAGAGAGGAAAAGGGGGAAGAGAGAGAGAGAGAGAGAGAGAGAGAGAGAGAGAGAGAGAGAGAGAGAGAGAGAGAGAGAGAGAGAGAGAGAGAGAGAGAGAGAGAAAGGGGGGAGACGAGATAGAGAGAGAGAGGAAAGGGGGGAGACGAGAGAGGGGGAGATGAAGAGAGAGAAAGAGAGAGAGGAAGAGATGAGAGAGAGAGAGAAAGAAAGAACGGAAAGGGGAGACGAGAGAGAGGGGGGGGGAGATGAGAGAGAGAGAAAGAAAGAGAGAGAAAGAAGAACGGAAAGGGGGAGACGAGAGAGAGAGAGGGGGGGGAGATGAAGAGAGAGAGAGAGAGAGAGAGGAAGAGATGAAGATAGAGAGAGCGAAAGAAAGAACGGAAAGGGGCAGACGAGAGAGAGAGGGGAGGGGGGAGATGAAGAGAGAGAGAGAGAGAGGAAGAGATGAAGAGAGAGAGAGAGAGAAAGAAAGAACGGAAAGGGGGAGACGAGAGAGAGAGACCAACGCCCTAGGAGCGGCAGGCGCCTGGCACAGGTTGTTTGCCCAAGCGAGTGCGGTGCCAGGAGGAGCAGGGGTTGGGAAAGGGTCATGGAAAGGGGGCGGGCACGGCGTGGGAGGAAGGGGAGGGGGAGTAGCAGGGAAGGAGGAAAAGGATAGTATGGAAGGAGAAGGGAGATAAGGAAGGGGGACAGAGGAGAGAGTTAGAGGCAGGGGGGAGGGAGAGAGAAAAAGGAGCAGGGAAGCAGTAGGGGAACACGCCAGGAGGAGGAGCAGGAGGGGAACACGCCAGGAGGAGGAGCAGGAGGGAACACGCCAGGAGGAGGAGCAGGAGGTGGAAGAGCAGGAGGGGAACACGCCAGGAAGAGGAGCAGGAGGGGAACACGCCAGGAGGAGGAGCAGGAGGGGAACACGCCAGGAGGAGGAGCAGGAGGGGAACACGCCAGGAGGAGGAGAAGGAGGGGAACACGCCAGGAGGAGGAGAAGGAGAACACGCCAGGAGGAGGAGCAGGAGGGGAACACGCCAGGAGGAGGAGCAGGAGGGAAACACGCCAGGAGGAGGAGCAGGAGGGGAACACGCCAGGAGGGAGCAGGAGGGGAACACGCCAGGAGGAGGAGCAGGAGGGGAACACGCCAGGAGGAGGAGCAGGAGGGGAACACGCCAGGAGGAGGAGAAGGAGGGAACACGCCAGGAGGAGGAGCAGGAGGGGAACACGCCAGGAGAGGAGCAGGAGGGGCAGGAGGAGGAGCAGGAGGGGAACACGCCAGGAGGAGGAGCAGGAGGGGAACACGCCAGGAGGAGGAGCAGGAGGGGAACACGCCAGGAGGAGGAGCAGGAGGGAACACGCCAGGAGGAGGAGCAGGAGGGGAACACGCCAGGAGGAGGAGCAGGAGGGGAACACGCCAGGAGGAGGAGCAGGAGGGGAACACGCCAGGAGGAGGAGCAGGAGGGGGGAACACGCCAGGAGGAGGAGCAGGAGGGGAACACGCCAGGAGGAGGAGCAGGAGGGGAACACGCCAGGAGGAGGAGCAGGAGGGGAACACGCCCAGCAGGAGGGGAACACGCAGGAGCAGGAGGGGAACACGCCAGGAGCAGGAGGGGTGGGATGAACACGCAGGAGGAGGAGCAGGAGGGGAACACGCCAGGAGGAGGGAGCAGGAGGGGAACACGCCCAGGAACACGCCAGGAGGAGGAGCAGGAGGGGAACACGCCAGGAGGAGGGAACACGCCAGGAGGAGGAGCAGTAGAGGAGTTTTAGGAGGGGAACAAGGAGGAGGAAGGAGGAACACGCCAGGAGGAGGACAGGAGGGGATGAACACAGGAGGAGGAGCAGGACTAAGGCGTTTAATCATGACCTTGCAAAGACGTGTTGGCCGCGGAGGTCGCCGTGGCCACTGACGGGGTTTTCCCTAAGAGCCGTCTCAAGGATCAGGCTTTCCCGTCGCCTCTTCGGGAACGCCGGCGAGGGTCGGGTAGGAGGGGGGGGGGAGGCTGGTGATGCCTTTAATGGTAATGATGATGGTGGTATCGGTATAAAATGTATCGATGTGATCATATTCTTTCATGATTATCAATTCATTCAGAGATTTGGTAAAGAAATCTTATGTTGAAATATGTGGTGTTATGTTTTTTATTCTTTTTTATAAGAATGCTTCAGAACACAAATAAAAACGATAGGAAACACATCCTTTCATGGACTAACACTAGAACATTGATGAATGTAATTGCGATGAAGTTGAGGGTAATGATAACTTTGTAAATCCTTATTTCATAATTATAATCATTATAATTATGGCTAATATCTTTATTTTTATTATTACAAATGTTATTATTATCATTACTATTTGTTTATCATTACTATTATTATTATAATTATCATTACTATTATTATTATAATTATCACTATCATCATTATTATCCTTATCATTATTATTTTAATCGAAAAGCATTTTTACATTTCCATCCTCCCCTTCCGCCATCACTGCGCGCGGGCGCTCCGAGCAGCCCTTCGGAGCCGAGCAGCGCCCTCCCGGCCTCACGGAAGAAATTCAAAACCTGTACGACATTAAGACTTATCAGATGTTCACCAATAATACCAGCAGGGGTAGCGGGGGTATAGCAGTATTTGTTCATGAATCACATAACGCTTGCCCAAGACCAGACCTTACAGTTAATAACCTCATCATGGAGAGCCTTTTCATTGAAATATTTAATAAATCCAGTAACATTATCGTCGGTATGATTTACAAGCGTCCCAAATCAAATAACCAGCTTTTCTTTGACAAGCTCAATGAAATCACTACAGTCTTGGCATCTGAGAACAAACGCTGCTATATTACGGGTGATTTTAACATAAACTTGTTAAATTCAGCCATGCCTGCCTCTAGAAACCTGTCAAACCTTTTTCACGAAAATATGTTTTATAACTGCATAACGAAGCCCACTCGTGTGACAGACAGTTCTGCAACATTGCTGGATCATATCTGGACAAATGACCTTGCACATAATCTGGATAATACAATAATATACTCTCATATATCTGATCACTTTCCAGTACTTTCTGAATTCAAGTCTAACGTAACAATAGCACAATCTGGCAAAATAGATATTCAGTATAGGGATTTCTCGGAGCAAAATGTCCAGCTGTTCACTCAGCACTTGCAAACTGTGTCTTGGACTTGGTTTATATTCCTGCCAATCCTAATATCAAGCTTGCCAATTTCTATACTATATCACAACTTCATTCAATGTTTTCTTCCCTTACATAAATCTCTAAAGCCCAAAGCCCTTGCCAAGCCATACATAACATCAGAAATAAAAACTTTG